GAGCTCGACACGTTAACCATGCGTAAGAACTATTTATGCTTGATTGATAGATTTAAAGTGAAAGAGAGGTATGGGCCGCCATTCCAAAGAAGGCGACCCAACTTGTCCTCTCAGCGATGGTTCCAACTTGACCCGCACTACTTTTACTTGTCACATTTAGCTCATCAACTGAACCAGACATGCCAGATTACGCAGATCTGGCCAGGCTTTTCCTTGTCTGGTTAAGCTTTCAAGACCCTTGACTGAGATGGTAGGGTAGGACAAGTGTTTGGTAACTTGACTTACACGCTTACAAGCTTACGTCTCCTTGCCTCAACCATACTTGCTCGAGGACTAATTCACTGTTGGGTAACTAATCCTTGAGCAACAGAGCTTGGCATTAGCCCATTTTGAACACTCCGATTTCGGATTGGTATTGCGTATTCACGATAATACACACACACACACACACACACACACACACACACAAGAGCAAAATTAGTGCGACTGGTATGAAAGATAATTAGCCATACGATTCTATATTTTTCTATGACTTTTTTTTGCTCAATTTAGCCTGTATACTTGGCAAGATAGAGCTGGATCGTGTTTTTGGCTTATTTTTACGTCAGACTTTTACAAGAATGAGTTCCTCCTCTGAGGATGTCCATCGAATGATGGACTAAAGCTAAACTCTTTTTCACCCGAATCGGTTGTTAATCCTTCTTTGGTCTCCTGTGAGACCATTTCACGTATTCCTTCCAATCATTTTTTTTTTCACAATGAAAAGCATTTTCAAAATAGCTCATTAAGGAACTCTCGTAAACCCAGTTTCGTTTCACATTTTTTTAACTTGCCTTACCTACCGGAAATGCAACGTTAATTCGAACTTAAAATTGGCTCATGTTTTTCATACATTTTATTCTTACGGCCTCACTATCATAAAGGAATTTCAATCCCGACTTCAAGAGTCTGCCGTCTGCTATCGTCAATTCCACCCTCGACATTTACAAGGCCTCCATGACAAATCTGCTGCCGACACCGACTAAATCGCATTACCTCTTCAACCTGCGCGACTTTAGCCGCGTTATCCAAGGCGTCACTTTGTCACTGCCGGAGACTATGGACTCATTGAACGCCATGCGTCGGCTGTGGACACACGAGGTTTTCCGCGTCTACTACGACCGTCTCGTGGATGATAAGGATCGTGCTTGGTTCTTCGAATACGTCAAATCTTCTGTGAAACAACACTTCGAGGTTGATTTTGACCCGTTATTTCATCATCTGGCCGGCGGTAAGGAGGAGGTGGGTCAGTGAATTTACTAGCCAAACCTGGTCGCCGTTCTGCCAATCAGGCTACCTTTGAAGGTGTATTATATATACATAATTTTACATTTAAAAGTGGAAATACCATAATATATAAAGTCGGCACTAATATAGTAAGAGATTTATAGAAAACCAGTTTCCCTCTCCTCTCTCTCTCTTTCTCTCTCTTTCTTTATATACAAAGGGAGAGACAGAATGGGGAGCTGGATTTCTATGAATCTCTTACTATATTAGTGCTGACTTTATATATTATGTTATTTCTGCTATTAAATGCAAAATTAAAGCAGCACTTGGAATCTTAGGAAAGTGGGGAGGAGGTTGTGCAAGAATTATCTACTCCTGATTGATGGACCTAAGTATAATTAAGGGTTTAGCCTTCTTCAAAAAGAGGTTTAATCAGCTAACATTTCCTCCTTGTGAATATTGGTAGGCTTCGACTCTATAAATGGATCTTGAATAAGAGCTGTAGCCATGCTAGACACCATAAGGGGATGAAAGGTTGATGGTTTGATTTTTACACAATTATATGCGTAGACATTATTGACACTCGTGGCTGTCCGGCGTAGTGATGACATATGAGATGTATTCACCCTATTTCGTGTAAGGTGATGAAGGACTGGTAGTAGAATTTTCCCACAATG